CCTGTTAGAATAAGTTATGGGTTTTTTCTTTTTTTTTTTTGAAATATACAAAGATCATAATCTGACCTTGCACAGATACGTAGTTGGTGAAGGGAAGAATATTTTAATAGCCTTTTCTGATAATTACGGATCTTCTTTGATACTTTGCTAAAGCTCAACAACTGGTAGTTTCTTAAATGTTGCAATATGGAATCTGAAATCATATTTTTCAACGTATTGGTCTTTTGATCTTTTATCCAAGCACGATTTATAACATGCATTAGTCATTTGAACAAATTAGTTTATTGTATTATGCAGATCTCCAAATAACATATTTCATTATATAATAATCTCCCCACTAAAAAAGATAAAAGCCAACATTCATTAAAATCACCATTTCATTACAAAATCTTTAATTAATGGGAAGCTGTCAAGCTCTTAAGTGGCAAAAATGCTTTCCAAAATTCTAATGTTCACTCAAAAACTTAATTTTTATCATTGGCAAGAAATACTATCATTTATTTTTCTTGAAGGGCTTATTTTGTTCATTTTCAAGAAAATGTCTGCTTTTACCTAAGTCTAAATAGCCAGTTTGCCATTCATTCTTTCAAGTAAAAATGGTGTTCCACAAAAAAAGCAGCTGGTTCAGATTGTGACTCAGTCATGTAACTAACTGCTTTTTCTCCAGACAGTATCTGTTGGATGCAGCAGAAATTCTTTACTTCCTATTTTGTCACCCAGAATATTAAAGAAGCACATACACAAGGATCAAGATTTAATAAAATGAATAATTGTTGCTGCTTCATAAAGAACATTCTTAAATAAATTGGCTACCCCCACTTAGACTGTGGGTGTGTGGTAATGAGGATTCAGTAACTTGTACCTTTTGCCTTGTTTGATTCCTGCTGAGGCTTTAGCAGTGTCTCCTCACCATTGCTTTTACGGTGCATTTGTCAACATGGTGCCCAAAGCAAATATGTTCTCAATATTATTGTGAATAAAGTATTGACCTTCATGAATGACTTGAAGGAGTCTTAGGGACATCAGATTTCTGTCTACATTTTGAGAATTGATGCTCTAGATGGTTCTGGTGGTTAAAAAAAAAAACTCATTTAATTTTCTGAAGAATTAATTGCAACTCTTGCCTTATGCTTTTACTTCAGATTTTAATAATTGTAATCTTGCATTTGAAATAGAAAAGTATGCTAGTTTTTAATAAAAGCCTGCACGAGAGTGCGTGCTTGAATTTGTATTTCTGTGCTTCTTTCTTTTGAATAGCATACCATTTTATAATTGTGGGCCCAGACTAAAGAGCTCATTCTATTCAGACACTGAGTAGCTTTGTTTCTGACAGCTAGTAGTCAGCTCTCTGTTTTAAAACAATCAGTTGGGTCCTGCTGGCTCAACTTGCAGTTGTCCTAGACCTAACCCTATCTCAGCCAAAGACTGTTGTTGGAAAGCCCACACAAAGGCCTTGTGTACAGGGAGCCCTGCTAATAAGGAGTATGTTCTAGTCCCAGCAGATTAAATCTGCTTTGGTGTGCATTCCCTTCCCAAATTTCTCACTTATTTCCTTTGTTTGCCTGGTTATTTCAGTGAGAGATCATTTTTAATGCCTGTAAAGATAATTTCTGATTAGTAGATAGTCTGAATGGAGGGGATTACTGGAGTAAAATGTTTCTTTCTTTATGGTAGGATGTGATGGAGCTGCTTGAAGAAGATCTCACGTGCCCAATTTGTTGCAGTCTGTTTGATGATCCTCGAGTTTTGCCTTGCTCGCATAACTTTTGCAAAAAATGCTTAGAAGGGATCTTAGAGGGGACCGTGCGGAATTCGTTGTGGAGATCATCTCCATTCAAGTGCCCTACATGCCGTAAGGAAACTTCAGCTACTGGAGTCAATAGCCTGCAGGTCAATTACTCCCTGAAGGGTATTGTGGAAAAGTATAACAAGATCAAGATCTCTCCCAAAATGCCTGTGTGCAAAGGACACTTGGGGCAACCCCTCAACATTTTCTGCCTGACTGATATGCAACTGATTTGCGGGATCTGTGCTACTCGTGGTGACCACACCAAGCATGTCTTCTGTTCTATTGAAGATGCCTATGCTCAGGAAAGAGATGCCTTTGAGTCCCTCTTCCAGAGCTTTGAGACCTGGCGTCGGGGAGATGCTCTTTCTCGCTTGGATACCTTGGAAACTAGCAAAAGGAAATCTCTGCAGTTACTGACTAAAGATTCAGATAAAGTGAAGGAGTTTTTTGAGAAGTTACAACATACATTAGATCAAAAGAAGAATGAAATCCTGTCTGACTTTGAGACCATGAAACTGGCAGTTATGCAAGCCTATGACCCAGAGATCAACAAACTCAACACCATCTTGCAGGAACAACGAATGGCCTTTAACATTGCTGAGGCTTTCAAAGACGTGTCAGAACCCATCATATTTCTGCAACAGATGCAGGAGTTCAGGGAGAAAATAAAAGTAATCAAGGAAACTCCTTTACCTCCCTCGAATTTGCCCACAAGCCCTTTAATGAAGAACTTTGATACCAGTCAGTGGGAAGACATAAAACTAGTAGATGTGGATAAACTTTCTTTGCCTCAAGATGCTGGCACGTTCGTTAGTAAGATTCCCTGGAGCTTTTCTCAGTTATTTGTGGTAGTCATTCTGCTCAGCCTTCTCATTTTCTTTGGTCCCACCATATTCCTAGAAGGGTCTTTATTTGATGAATTCACAACTTGGAAAGACTGCCTCTCCAACTTCAATTCCTATCTGGCTAAATCAGCTGATTTTGTAGAACAATCAGTGTTTTATTGGGAACAGGTGACAGATGGATTTTTCATTTTCAGTGAAAGATTTAAGAATTTTACTTTGGTGGTGCTGAACAATGTGGCAGAATTTGTGTGCAAATATAAACTATTATAAAATCTGTTGCAACTATTTAGTTCTCTGTCTTTTGTTAGAAATTTGTTAAAGAGCTGAGTGGTAGTTCAGATTTGGTCAAGATTTCAATGAAGTATTTCCCTGCCCAAAGTATTCCTTTCAAAAATAATGTCCTATATATGTTGTTCAAATGAGTTAGCATAAAGGTAAATGTGAAATTTAATAGTACAGTCCTGAACCCTCCTTCCTTTTTAAAGAGTGCTTTTGAAATACACCTCCTACCTCCAATATCAGTTGTGTTGATGCTGTGGAAAAAGGGCAGGTGAAAGTGCATGATCTAATGTTGTATTAATGAGGTAGTATAACAGTGATTGTTCATTTAAGCATGTAATAAAGACTACTCGTGTAAAGCAACTCTTTTTGAGACTGAACATTCTTTTAAAAAAGGAAAAGATATGAGTGGAATGGATTTCCAAATTTTTCTAGATTTGGATTTCTAAATTTTAGTTTTTTGCTAAAATGTAAATCTCAGGTAAACAAAAGGTGGCATGTTCTTGGGATCAGTTTACGTTTTTAGGAGGGTGATGATTTCAGCTTGCCTTGTTCTCCTTAGGTTTTGTAAATTCCTTTGGTGATAAACTACAGAAGTGTTAGGTGGCTGTGGTAGGTACAAAAAAAAGTCTAACACATGGCAAGAACAGGAAATGGGAAAGCCTTTTTACTGGCAGCCAAGTGTTGTGTTGTTGTTCCCAAGTATCATGGCAACAGGACAACTAAACCAATCCACTTGCTTAGTATCTTTTTGAAGAGTAGTAAGATTAATTTGCCAATAGATGGAGGAGTCTGTCAGTTATTATAAAGTGCAAAGTAATCAGCTAAACACTAATTTTGCCCTATCTGCTTACATGAGATAAAGATGCCCTATCATCTCCCACAGAATAAAAATACTTAATTTTCTCCTCTTGCTTACAATTCAGATGAAGACAAGAACTGCTCTCGAGTCTACCTCATTTCTGTCATGAAACAACATTCTTTGGAAAGCAGAGTGTCTTTACCCTTTTATTTTTTTAAGTTTATTTATTTTGAGAGAGAGTGTGCATGCATGGGAGGGGTAAAGAGAGAGGGGGAGAGGGAATCCCAAGCAGGCTCTGTGTTGTCAGCCCAACATGAGGCTCCATCCTATGAACCATGAGATCATGATCTGAACCGAAATAAAGAGTTGGATGCTTAACTGACTGAGCCACTGAGGCACCCCTACCCTGTCTTTTAATTTGGTTGAGAGAAGGTAACACAAGTGGGGACAAGAAAAAAAAAAGGGGCCAACTAACTTGAAAGTACAGAAGAATCCAGCTATGAGGAAAAGAGTCAAATTAAGCTGCTGGTTGAGGTAATGGCTGCCTCAACCATAACTGACAATGCATGATTTAGCCAAAATTGCTAAAGGGTTCATAAATTATAAAAATGTTTCACTGTAAATCTTACCTCTGCTATGAGGACTCATAGATAAGTGGTCCGGGGAACCCGGCAGGGGTTGCTTTTCTGCTCCCAGTGTATATATGTGTGTATGTATGTATGTGTATATGTGTGTGTGTGTGTGTGTGTGTGTGTGTGTGTGTGTTTAAATAGAGATTTACAACAGGTTTTCATGGAGAATTTTTTATGCAATACAGGAACAGGATCCATTTAACATCTAACCTTGGAAATATTGGCAGTTTAAAAAAATTTTTTTTAATGTTTATTTTTGAGAGACAGAGACAGAGTGCAAGTGGGGGGAGGGGCAGAGAGAGAAGGAGACACAGAATCCGAAGCAGGCTCCAGGCTCCAAGCTGTCAGCACAGAGCCCGATGTGGGGTTTGAACTCATGAACTGTGAGATTGTGACCTGAGCCAAAGTTGGACGCTTAACTGAGCCAACCACGCTCCCCAAGGCAGTTTTTCTTAAACAATTCAGTACCTCAACTGCTGCTTTTTCATTTTGTATACTGCAAGTTCCCAAGCAACTCAAATTTGCAAACACAGCTATGGATACAATATTTGCTTTACAGTAGTTACCTGGGAATCTAGGTCTCTGTTTTTTTGTTATTTTCCCCTCCCCTCCATTTCTTGATCATATATAACTAGCAACACTTATGGTTAGAAGTTGATTTACAAGTTTCTAAGTCTGTGGCTGTTGGTTTGTAGCCTCTAGTTTGAAGCAAGAAAAGAATGAGTAGTCAGGAACTAGTCACTTTGAATGTGGGAGGGAAGATATTCACAACAAGATTTTCTACCATAAAGCAGTTTCCTGCCTCTCGGTTGACAAGAATGATAGATGGCAGAGACCAAGAATTCAAGATGGTTGGTGGCCAGATTTTTGTGGACAGAGATGGTGTTTTATTTAGTTTCATCTTAGATTTTTTGAGAACTCACCAGCTTTTATTACCCACTGACTTTTCAGACTATCATAGGCTTCAGAGAGAGGCTCTTTTCTATGAACTGGATCCTCTGATTGATCTCTTAAACCAAGAACACTTGCTACAGCCAAGACCTGCTTTTTTGGAGGTGCATTTCCTAAGCCGAAACACTCAAGCTTTTTTCAGGGTATTTGGCTCTTGCAGCAAAACAATTGAGATGCTAACTGGGAGGATTACAGTGTTTATAGAGCAACCTTCAGCAATGACCTGGAGTAGTAACTCTTTCCCTCCTCAGATGACTTTACTTCCACTGCCTCCACAAAGACCTTCTTACCACGACCTGGTTTTCCAGTGTGGCTCTGAGAGCACTACTGATAACCAAACTGGAGTCAGGTATTTTGTATTTTGAAGCATCTCTCTTCTATACTAGTTCCTTTCCCCCTCAAACTGAAAGTTTCTCACGCCTGAAACTTTTCTTAGAAAAAATGATTACTCAAATGTTTTGGGGTAACTGGTAGAGTTGGGTAGAGTGATCAGATAATTGTCTAAACCGGGCTACTTTTCAGAGTGAAAGGAGGCATTGTTACAATGTGGGACAAAAGGAATAAACCAAGACTGTCCAGGGAAAACTGGGACTATGGTCATTTAAGTTCTAAGAGGAAATAATTTTATACATTATGTTCCATTGCTAATGACCATTAATTTGGCTTAGGACCGAGAAGGCCTTTTTTCCCCCCAAGAGATTCTTTTAGTGGCTGGCATATGGTAAAGTTTCAGTTTCTCCTGATTTCCTTACAGTCTATGTATATTTGTTCTTTCAGTCCTTATGATCTGACTACTGATTTTCCTCCACCCCACTTTATTTTTAAACACCATTAAGGCAGATATATCCCAGAGCAAATTTGGTATCCTATTACATCTTTGGCACTCTTAGGCAACTCAAAATATTGGGATAGGCTGTCAGTATGTTAAGGATAGTTGCTTCTGAGTCAATTATTCACTTTCTCTCCTTGTTGTTCTTGGCTGGGCACTAAGGCTGATTTCCACTCTGCTGTCAGGGACACATTTTTTTTCTCCTTAAAAATGTCTTAATGCTGTCCCACCATTATTTTACTAACTGAAAGCTGGCTTTAATTTTCAGGAGGAAAAAAAGTAGTCTGTATATGTTCTTTACTGATAACTATTTAAGCTTTTTTTTTTTTTTTTTTTTTTTTTTTTTTTTTTTTTTTTTT